TTCCTTACCTCTGAAGATCTAGCACTTTCCATGGTGGCTGGCACAGACTAGATACTCATTATTTTTTCCGCCAAGAAAAGACTAAATGAATGTCACTGCCGAAAAGTAGAGAAAAAAAAGAGTTGAGGAGAGAACTCTGGTGAGCATCTTTAGGCCACAGACAGAAAGAGCAGGAAAGACAAACAGAAAGGCAAAGAGCCAAGAGAAGGCAGGACACGGCAGCTGAGGGTGAGTGGAGATTCTAGGGGTGATTGATTCTACAGGTGAAGGAGTGACAAAGACAATAAGAATGGCTGACACTTACTGGGTGCTTTCTGTATGCTAGTTGCTGTCCTAAGACTTAACATGGATTACCTCCATTAGTCTCCTCACTAACCCAGTGAGATAGGTGTCCCTGTTACCTCCGCTTTACAGATGAGTAACGAGTCCCAAAAAGGTTATGTGCTTTGCTCAAGGATAAACAAATGGGGTTGCCATGAGTCAAACCAGGTCACCTGGCCCCAGAGCATGGAGACTTAACCACTGTGCAACTACTCTGGCTTCTAGCAGCGGGACAGGTAACAGTGTGCAGGTCTAAGTAGTAGGGCAGAAAGATTGAAAAGGGGACCAGCCACTCTCTATGGCCTTTGGCCATGAAGAGAGAACAGCAGTGTCCATCATTCTGAGTTAGACCATCTCCCACATTAGGTCACCAAATCTGCAGAAACTATATATGAATGGAATCATTCCTAATGCATCACTGGCCATGAGAGAGACTGGAGAATATGCTTTTATTTCAGAAACAGATAGCTTTGATCATGTCTTCGGGATATTGTAACAGCTGCTTTGACACACACTTTTTTACTACATTCCATTATTATTATCGACTTAAAATAATCCTTGAGAGAGAAAAAGAGAGTCTGGATTTAACAGTAAAAATTTTGTGGTATTCCAACTTGCTTTCAGTTTTACATATGCCTGTGAACCGTTCCTGCTTTCTCTCTTTTTTTTTTTAACAGCTGAAGAAATAAAAAGTCTTGCCCAAGGTATATGGAAAAGCACCTGTATTTGCATTGCAACCTGTGTTTTGCATAGCAGATGCACAGGCACAGAATCTGCCAGTAACAGCCAGGTCAGGCAGACAGTCTAGAGCAAAATGTGTCCCTGATTGACAGACTAGACCAATCGGTGGCTGTCCTGTTGCAGAATATTGCATACTCTTAAAGCTCACAATGTTAAGATTTTGGCAGATTTATAGATTCCTTTAATTAAAGAACTGGAAGGATACGAATAACAGAACTATTTCATTCCTAATTGATGCAGATCTGCAACGCACATGACTAAAATCTGTTCCCAGAAATTTCCATTACAGAAAGTTTGAATTTGATTTAAAATATATGCCAATATATGTGTCTTTTTCTTCCTCAATTTTTTTAATGGGTGGTGACTTGGCCTAACCCAAAATCTAACTATCGTGGTCAGCTCTCCACACAATGGGAATAGAACTGATATTTTTTAAGCCTTTCACTCTGAAAGCACGAGGCTGATATCTTAAGGACAATTCAGCACCATTGAGGGATGCGGATAATCCAATGTAAGAGTAGAGAGAAAAATGAATCTCTTTTAAAATTTATTGGTAGCTTTTTCTTAGTTAACTCTCTCTTGAAGTTTATTTTTAAAAAGTACAAATATTTTACCACTTAAAGCATTGGGACAGCATCAATAGCTACAATTGGACCACAGCTCGACTTTGTATCACTTCTAAAATGCACTGTTCTCTTTGGTCTGGCCTTGGGCAGGAAAAGAGACTGCAAGTACAAACCAACCAGTTCAGGTTGACTATTGCATTAAAAATGTAAGAAAAGTTATTTTCTAAAGAAAGCTTTTTGACAAGCAGAATTAATTTGTGGAAAATGAAATAAATGCAATGGCATCAGGAGGGCCTTTCGGTCTTGACTACTCTTCCCTGTACCACTCTGGATGTCTGTGAGGAACGCTCCCCACGCCGTCACAGGGTCTGATGACAGTTAGCTTTTGAAGCCAGTTCACTGCCTTGAGGGAACACTCACGTCCCAATAAGTAGTTTGGGCTGTGCAGGGCACAAGGCTGGGGCGTTTGCCCATTAAAAGGACACTGTCCCCTTAGACAGATTGTGGGGCCATCATTTTATAACCCCTTAACCAGCAGTGCTCTGGGGTCAGCTAACCTTTTCCTGTTGAACATCCAAATGATACTACTGGGTACCCACTAACCCAGAACTTCTAAAGGAATTGGGACACACCCAAAGGGTAAGCAGCTAGAAATGCAACGACAATATTTTTGTTGGCCTTTTATGAATTTTTGTTTTCAGAAGTGTAACTCCAGGCATTACTTCAAGCCGACATCTGAGGTCTCTCGCACTAGTATGAGCAATGAGTCACCTTGACTTATAATTATGATGATAACTAGCAGTTAACTGAGCACTTTCTTTGTACCAGGAATTTTTCTAGGCACTTGACCTGCATTTCCATATTTAATTTTCAGAAGCACCCCATGTAGTAGGTGATATTATTGTCACCATTTATAGAGGAAGAAACTGAGACACAGGAAGGTGATATAACCTGCCTAAGGTCACAATGTCCATGCTCTTTATCCTGCACATCCTTACCCAACAGTCTCTCTAGGAAGGGACGCACTAACACTGATAAATGTGAGTAGAAAAATTGGCATCTGTAGGCGGCGATCGTTGTACAGGTTTATGGAGCTCCCTGAGTGGGCACTATTCTACCAAGCCATCCTTTCAGTATGGTTGAGAATTACAAAGGCTAAGATCCTTCTACACTTGTTTCTGTCTTAAGTAAGCACTCAGTCTCTGCTAGTATTCTCTTTTAAGTTTGGGTTCTTGGGAACCCCAATGCAAAGCTGTCCTGTTTTCTTCCACGGCTCTGTGCTACTTTATGGAGGGGTAAGGCACTGATAAGCCTCCATGGAGAACCAACCAATGGGTCTGATGCCCAAGTGTTGGGTCAGTGGTTCCTTCCTCCTCCACCAATCTTGGCATCACTCCTCCTTAGGTTGGGGAAGTTGGTTCCACATTACTATCAGGACACTCTGATCTCGTGAGTTAGAAAGTTCCATAGCCTAACCCTCTTAAGTAATAAGACTCTTCTCTCAGCATTTGCCTGCCTCCTTTCTGCAAGTACTCAACTTGGTATCTGAGAGATGAAGGGTGAACACCCTGGGATAATTGATTCTCCTTTGCAGCCTGCTTTCAGTTTTCCTCATTGACAGCAAAGTTGCATAAGACCCAGGAATGTAACCACATGCTTCCAAGGCCACGTGCACCGTAGTTCACAAAGCCTGCTGTCAGATGGCATTCATGAAGTGGCAGCCACAAGTATTTGACTCCTGAGGCCTGACCCCTCTTGGTAGTATCATAAATGTCTGTCAAAAAGCAGTTGGGCTGGGCTGGCTGAGTTGGCTCAGTTGGTTTAGAGCTCGCTCAAGAGTTTGAGCTCTGAGCACAGTAGTTTGATTCCCAGCCCAAGCTAAGTTGCCACTGAGCTGCCAACAAGTGGCAGGATGTCTCAGCTAAAAAAATAAATAAATAAATGTAAAAAAGAAAGCAGTTGGGCTGAGGGAGAATGAGAAGCATAAGAAAACCTGGGTATTCAAACCCTGGTTAAACAAGTATCTATAAACGGATCCTGAAAGGCATTTCCTAACTAGGGTATAGTGACAGGTTATAATGTTGATTCAGAGACAGCTGTTCTGCCACACAGGACTGTCTTACTTTCTGGGCAGTTTTGTGTAAGAAATGTCAGGCATTGAAAAATCTGTTGTAAGATTGGTGGTTACCACAGGGGAAGGGGCGGGGGGAGGAGGATGAATAGGGTAAAGGGATCAAACATTCGGTGATGGAAGGAAACTAGGCTTCGGATGGTGAGCACATAATAGAGTATACAGATGTCATATTATAAAGTTGTGTATCCGAAATGTATATAATGTTATCAACCTATGTTACCCCCCAATAAATTTAATAAAATAAGTGAAAAAAATTCTGTGGTAGAGGAGAATCATATTCAAACTACTAGGGAAAGAACTTTATCATAGAGGGAATTACCCCATTTTCAGGCACTCCTCCTGGACACTCACCACTGAAGAGGGGTCCTGAGTGTCAGAGCCACACTACACTCAGAAGCCACGTTGACTGCCTCTTATCTTGACCATGTCCCCCACTGCTTTCCTGTCAGAGCATCCCTATCTCCTTTGTCTGGCTGCATCCAGCTACTTTTAATTCCTTCTCTTCCCCACTGTTTGCTGAATGGATAATTAAGCATTAAGTCCTGTTCTTTGTTGAGATCATAATTTTTAAAAAGACTTGCTACAGGAAATTGGCAACTTTGTAAGACAAGCTTTGGAAAGGAAACCAATGAACTCCAGCAAGATTAAGATTTTGAGAACAGAATCCAGACAGAAACACATTCCAGCTGAGTCTTCATGCTGAGGAGGCTACAAGTTTGTAGAGACCCCCTGGTTGGGTTTCTCTGCTCTAGTGCTTGAGTGTGGATACTGGAGTTGACTGCCTGGGTTCAAATCCTGGCAATGCCATTTGCGAGCTGTGTAGCATTGAGCAAATTAGTTTATCTCTCGGTGTCTCAATTTTTTCATCTGTAAAATGGAGACAATAATAGTACCTAGCTCAAAGAGTGTGGGTGAATCCAAGTAAACCACTTAGTACTTGGCACATGGAAAGTGTTCAGTAAGTACTATTAGTGAAACATTCATGGAGGGTTACAAAAAGGCATGCTTACTTTGGGTTGGTATAAAAACATCATCTTAGAGTCATTGTCATAATCCTTACTGCACTTGAGCCAATAATAACCTCAAATGTTTTTACTATGATCTTTCCTCTATGGGCCACCCCCTGGGAGGGATGCAAGAGCTGTGAGTCTGCATTATCTAGAGCACTGTGATTCTGTGCAGAGGAGACTTATGGGCCATTAGAATTGACTGTCCTCCTGGTTCTTTGACTTACTCAGGTACTGGAAAGCTTCAAGATCATGGATTATAGCCTCTTGCTGGGAATCCACATCTTGGACCATTCCCTCAAAGAGAAAGAAGAAGAGACCTCACAAAATGTGCCTGATGCTAAGCGGCCTGGGATGCAGAAGGTCCTCTACTCAACAGCAATGGAATCCATCCAGGGTCCAGGGAAACCTGGAGACGGGGTCATCGCAGAGAACCCGGACACGTAAGTACAGCTGCCCACCCACGCACCCTCCTGGCTGGGGCAGCCCACATTACTGGATAATTACATGCAATTACGTTCCCTTCTTGGTGGCTCTTTGGGACTGGATGCCTAGCTGGTGCTGTAGTGGAGTGAGCCAGCCTTCATTTCTACTCATCTGTGGATAACTAGAGGAGTGGCTGTTCTTTGAGTTATTATCATTCTCTCACCCACATGGTTTCCTTGTTTCAGTGGCTCCATTTTTTAACAATGACTGAAAATGTTTTTACCCCCATTTACTACATATTCAAAACATCCACCACAGCAGGGAGACTATACTTTGAATTTGAATAAACATGTATTTAAGCAAATGCATGATAGGAATTATGTTTGAAATTGAGAGCTTCTTATCTGCATAGAGGATTCTGTTGTTCTAGTCCTGTCCCCTGGCAGATGTGGTCTCTTGCCTCGAGCAGGTGTGTAGTAACCGGAGGATGAGTCTGCATGTAGAAAATACATATTGACTAAAAGAAACAATTACAACCAAAGAAAATGATCGAACTGGTTGACTGCATCACATGTGTGTACCAGCTGAGCAAGGAGACTGACTGAAAGACACAAATCATTTTCCTTAGCCATAAGTGTCTGCCTTCTAGGAGTCTTCAACAATGACTAAATCACAGGCATATTTCATTTTTATAAAGGAAATCTTTACATATAAAACTTTTTTTTAAATCCTTGCTTGTAAATCCACCTAAATGTCCAATAATTGATTTAAAATATTATTTTCTCTCAGTAGAGTGAAATACCACACAGCCATTAAAAAACACATCGAATACGAGGAAACAGTCATCATTTAGAAAGTGAAAAATTCAGGTTATAAAACATGATAAATTAATCACTTTTGTGGACTAATAAACACACACACACACACACAGAGGAAAGGTGTACCAAATGTTAATAGTGATTATCTTTTCATCCTATGAATGGATTCCTTATATACTTTTTCTCTGAGCTTTTCTGTATTTTAAAAACAGTGAATATATAAAAGTGTTACATTTTTTAAAAGGAATACTTTAAAATACTTCTTAAATGATTGCTCATGGTGCTAGAATAGGAATAATTTTGTAATTGGGTTCTTTCCACCCAGTTCTTCAGTGCTGACATCCATGGTATCATTCCCCTTTGTGGGAAGTACATCCTTCTGGATTCCCAGGAAGACTTTAACTGATTCCAGGAAAAAAAAAAATGATGAAGGGAGAGATAGTCCAGAATTCTTGAAGATTGTTCATTTTTACTTATAGTCTATTTATTAGAAACTATTTTTAGCATCCTATTTTTATAATATAAACTATTTTCTCTTTTGCTCCATCAACAGAATGGGAGGCATTCCAGCTAAAAGCCATAAGGGAGAAAAACTACTTTTATTTATGGGCATTATAGACATTCTGCAATCATATAGGTAAGAAATTTGGGGAAGTAGTGTTTCATTATTTCAAAATAAATCAACAAAAGTTTCTGAAAATTCGAGTGGGAGTGATTTTGCATTCTCATTTTTGTCTTTCTGTTTTTGTTTAGGTTAATGAAGAAGTTAGAACATTCCTGGAAAGCTCTTGTTTATGATGGGGTAAGTGGCTTATCATATTCCTTATTAATGTATATTTTTCTGATTTCTCAGAGACTTCAGAGTGTGTCTAGGAAACTGTGTCACTAGACCTGAAGAGGAAACAGGGTCTTTATAAACTCAAAATGAGGCTAGCAGATAGGTCCAAATCTAAGAACAAAGACAACATAAATTTGAATAGCTCTTCAAATAGAGGACATCCAGGTTGCTAGGGAGAGGCCAGGGAAACAAAATGGTGTCTTGTTTCCATGTGAAATCTTAAGGGCCCAATTATGAGATGACCATGAGAAAATGGAGACCCTTTTCATAGGCACTGGTAAGATTAGTAGGACATTTAAAATGAAGTTCTCATAAGACCAAGCTACAGAGGGGTGTGAACCTGACTTTTATGGTAAAGAGCCCTGGATTTGAACCCTGCATTCACCACTTTAGTAGCCATGTGACTCAGACACATTGCTTGTTATTTGGCCTCTCTTCGCCTGGTTTCCCATCTGTACCAGGGGCGTAGTCATAGTACCTAGTACCTGCCTCATAGGGCTGATGTGAGGATTTAATGAAATAATGCACTTTAGTTTTTAACATGATACCTAACACATAATAAAGACATGGGAAGTGAAAACTTTTTAAGTTGTTATGGATTTTTATACATGATTAAGGCTGACTGAGAGGATGTCTTTTGGACCCAGAATTGGTATTAACAGAAGAAAATTATCAAGATGCAGTGTCTCTCTCTCTCTCTCTCTCTCTCTCTTCCTCTCTCTTCCTCTCTCTTCCTCTTCTTCCTCTCTCCTCCCCTTCTCTCCCTCTAAACACACACACACACACACACACACACACGCGCGCGCGCGCATTCCTATCTAAATGTTGGATTTCAATTTCCTGTTGCTGACAGAACATTCACTGACCTCAGCTTTCTTCAGTTAATAACTCAAAGTGACAGTTCCAAAGAATATATTGGTCAAAGATTTGCTCACACATTTTTTTAAGATGTTAGCAAATGCCTTGAAATGGGATAAAGTAGAGATGCTATTCTCCTTTCTTGGAGAAGAACACCCAGTTTCTCAGTTCTGTGGAAGGCTGGTAATAACCTTTCAGCATGAAAGATCTGTATTTTGTCCACATGCTAAGGAATGACTTCCATCGGAATGCACTTTTTTTCAATTGTTTTTTTTTGTTTGTTTGTTATTTAATTGGGGAATTGGGGGAGGGGAACAGTGTTGGAAAATTAGGGAAGGAGACCAGCCAAGTTGTTATTCATCAGTCTTAGTTGCAGGTGGGCATAGCCATCATCCCATGTGGGAGTCGAACCCAGCAGCCTTGTTAAGAGCACTCACTCTATCCACTGAGCCATCCAGGCTGCAGCTCAGCTCAAGGTGCCGAGTTCAGTCTTAGTTGTGGGCAGGCGTAGCCCACCATCGAACAGGCAGTCTTGTTAGGAGCGCGTGCTCTTACCAGATGAGCCATCTTGCCACCTGTTGACAGCTCAGCTTGGACGCAGCATCACTGGTCCGTGTGGGAATTGAACCGGTGGCCCTGTTGCTCAGAGCTCACGCTCTTAAGCTAGCTCTTAACCAACTGAGCCATTTGGCCAGCCTGGAGTGCACTTTTAAACAACAAGTTCACAAGTTTGTTTTTAAGAATTAAACTTAGGCTTATCATTCAGATCAAAGTTTCCTTCTATTAAAATGTCAGGGTTAAATTTTTTCCCTTTCAGCTGAGAAAAGTAGAGACTACATAATGCCTTGAACATAGAAGGGAGAGAGAGTAAACACTCCGTTTCGTCCCCCATTGTAACTTAACCAAAGAGGGTTCCTCCATCCTGTGTCCTTCATAACATGCTGATTACAGAATTACTTTATGCTTCCTGAACACTCTATTTCACAGAAGTAAAAATGGAGGCTTCAAGACACTGTCTTTTCCAAGGATCCCACAGCTTTTTAAAGTTAGAGCTAACACCAGCACCAGGTCTCCAGACCTCTGGTCTAATGTGTGTTTTTTCTTCCAAACCCACTGCAGACACTTTATAGAATCTAAACCTAATGTTTAGAAGTTTCCTTATTGGAATCCACAAGCCTGTAATCAAAATGGAGCATTAAATAAGCAAATATATTATTTCTAGAATTGTATATCTTGAATAGTAAATAAATGATTACTGAATAAACATACAGAATTAGCTCCTCCATCCATCTCCCTGAATTTGCAATAAAATGCTGCTTCAGTCCTAAAGACTCCTACCAAGCATGAGAGAATTGCGTTAACTATCTAATGCAGTTCAACTCTATCTAATTAGTAGATAATTCAGTAAAACGGGGGTCACCAGTAGGCCTTGTCTCCTAGGAATCTTCCCAGTGTGTCTCCTAGGAATCTTCCCAGTGTCTGTGCACCTTATTACCAGAAGATGAAACCAGCACACTTTTTTTTTTTTTTGACCTAGGTATCACTATTTACATTAGGGTTGTTTGGCTTGTTGATGTCCCCAGTTTTTGTTCCTGACTGAAAGTGTTATCCTGCATTCTGGATGACACTTGAGGCATGAGCCCAAAGAGAACCCATTGCATAGATCTTTCTTCTAGCTTGAAATGAACTGTCCGAGAGGTAAATCTGTGATACCTGATTTGTCTTTTCAGGACACCGTTTCAGTTCACAGACCAAGCTTTTATGCAGACAGATTTCTTAAGTTTATGAATTCCAGAGTTTTCAAGAAAATTCAAGGTAAGAGTCTTCTGAAAAAATTTTTTTTACTTTTTTACTTTTAGCACTTACATGCTAACTTCACTATGGGTATCTTTGCAAGATTTTTTTATTGGAAGAGTTTGGCCTTATTTATTTCCCAAGAGCAGTAATCACTTAGTAATTACTGTCAAGCATCCCAGTCAAGTATTTATTGATGCCATAATTATTAAAGTCCTATTTTGTGATGGAAAAAATTAGAAACTGCCCAAATGTTCAACCATATAATATATTGGTTAAATATATTATAATACAATAAAATAATGGAACAATATGCAACAAATAAAAATGGTGTATTAAAGGTACAGTTAATTCTTATAGACTTATTCACATATATATACTTATTGGTCTGCATAACTAAATGCATAACAAATTCCAATGAGATATAAAAAAATTAAAAAAAAAACAGTGGTTATTCTAATGGAATATTCTCCAGGATAGACTTTATTGTTAGGCCACAAAACAATTCTCAATAAATTCAAAAAGATTGAAATTATACAAAGAATCTTTTTTAAATTTATTTTTAATTATAGTTGACATTATATTCATTTCAAGTATACAACATGGTGACTTACCACTTATATACCTTATGAATTGATCACCACAATAAATTTGGACCCATCTGTCACAGTACATAGTTATTATGATAATATTGACTATATTCCCTAGGCTGTACATTACATCCCCGTGACTTATAACTGAAAGCTTGTACTTCTTAATCCCCTTCTCCTTTTCCCCAATCACAATGGAATGAATCAATAATGAGCAAAAACTAGAAAATCATAAATATGTGAAAATTTAGCAACATGCTCTTAAACTACCAGTGGATCAAAGCAGAAAGCACAGGGAAATTAGAAAAAGCTTAGAGATGAATGAAAATGAAAACACACATATCAAAAACATGGGATGCTATGAAGGCAGTGCTCAGAGGGAAATTTATAGCTGTAAATGCCTACATTAAAAAAGAAGAAAGGTCTCAAATCCATATTCTAACTTTAAACCGTTAGGAAGGAACCAGAAAATGATGATCAAACCCAAAGCTAATAATAGTTATTCTGAATCATGGGATTATATGGATTTTCCTTTCCTTACATCAATATTTATTAAATTTTTCACAATGGTTATGTATTACTTATGTAGTAAGTTTGTAAACTAAGGAAAAGGAAAAAATGACTCTGTTATTACATGTTATTTTATTATTTAGGTATTCTGTGGTCCAATTTCATAACCCAAAACATGACAATTTAGCCACACACAAAAAGAAAACCTAAAAAAGTAGAATGTTCATATTTTATATTTATATGACAGATTTTTAAAATAATATTTGTTGGAGTTTATTTCTGTTGATGAAAGTAAAGCACTTTCTTCTTTTAAGGCTTTTATTTATTTCCAGCTTTATTGAGATATAATTGACATGACATTGTGTAAGTTTGTGTACAATGTGATGATTTGATTCACATATATATTACCAAATGATTATCACAATTAAATTACTCAGCACACCCATCACCTCACATAATTGCAGATTTTGCGTGTGTGTGGTAAGAACATTTAACATCTACTTTCTTAGCAACTTTGTAGTGGATAATACAATGTTGTTAACTATAGTCCCCATACTGTATATCAGATTCCCAGAACTTTTTCATCTTATGACTAAAAGTTGGTACCCTTTGACCAACATCTCATTTTTCCTATATTACCCCCAGTCCCCAGTAACTACTCTTCTACTTTATGTCTCTATGAGTTCAGCTTTTTTAGATTGCACAGATAAGTCAGATCATACAGCATTTGTCTTTCTCTGTTGGACTTACTTCACTTAGCACAATGCTCCCATGGTCCATCCGTATTGTTGCAAATGACAGGATCTCATTATTTTTAGTGACTGAATAATATTCCTGTGTGTGTGTGTGTGTGTGTGTGTGTGTGTGTGTGCGCGCGTGTGCATGTGCAGACCACATTTTATCCATTTATTTGTCAGTGATCACTTAGGTTGTTTCCATGTCTTGGCTATTGTGAATAATGCTGCAATAAATTTGGGAGTGCAGATATCTCTTCAGTATAGTGATTTCATTTCTTTTGGCTGTATACCCAGAGTGGGATTGCTGAATCATATGGTAGTTCTATTTTTAATTTTTGAGGAGCCTCCATATTATTTTCCAAAGTGGCTGCACCAATTTCCATTCCCATCATCAGTGCAAAGTGTTCTTTTTTGTCTACATCCTCACCAAGACTCGGTTACCTCTTGTCTTTTTTATAATAGCCAGTCTGGCAGGTGTGAGGTGATATCTCATTGTGGTTTTAATTTGCATTTCTCTGATGATTAGTGAAGTTGAGCACCATTTCATATACCTGTTGGCCATTTGTATGTCTTTTTTGGTAAAAGATCTTTTCAGGTCCATTTTTTAATCAGATTATTTGGTTTTTTGCTATTGAGTTATATGAGTTCTCTATATATTGGATATTACCCCTTATCTGATATATATAGTTTGCAAATAGCTTCTCCAGTTCTGTAAACTGCCTCTTCATCTTGTTGATTATTTCTTCTTCTATGCAGAAGCTTTTTAGTTTGATGTAACCCACTTGTTTGTTTTTGCTTTTGTTGCTTGTGCTTTGGGTGCCATATCCAAAAATATCATTGCCAAGACCAATGGCAAGGATCCCGTGTCCTCTTCTAGAAGTTTTAGGGTTTCAGATATTACATTTAAGTCTTTATTCCATTTTGAGTTAATTTTTGTGAGAATAAAACCCTTTCAGTGTAAAAATATTGGAAACTGCAAAAAGATTCAGCAAGAACAATGAAAATTACTTGATACCCTACAACCCAGAAATAGCCACCACTAATATGTTGATGTACTTCCTACCAGTCTTTATTTCTGTGCTTTGTGTATTTATACAAAAATGGTAGTATAATGGTGTCTCATTTTAAGTATATGTCCTCTGTTTTTCACATAATATTATACCATCATTCCCCATAGCATTGTATATTCTGCAAAGACACCCTTTAAAATTGCAATACGACATTAAAATTATATGGGTGTGCCATCATCTATTTAACCATTCTTTCATTATTGGACATTTAAATTATTTCTCCTTTTTCTATTTCTAACTAATGTTATATGAACATCATTTCAAATAAATGTTGTGCCCAAATTTATGATTATTTCTTTAAGATAGATTTCAAGAAGGAGTACTAGGGGGGTTAAAATGCACATAACTACACAGAAAGATTGTGCCACTGTAGACTTCCACAAGAGTCTGTGCTCTTCTAACCCTTAGCCAGAATTATTCTCTTTAAATTATAATACTCGGAAAAGTAAAAAAAAAAAAAAGTTATCTGGTTGTTTTATTTTGAATTTCTTAAGTACTGGTGACGTTTGACCATTATTCATGTTTATTAGCCATTTGTCATTCCCTTCAGAATTGAGCTTCATAATATTTGCCTGTTTATACTAGCTGTTTATTATTTTTCCAAATGATTTATATGAACTCCACATATTAAAGATATCAATCTTTATTCAACCTTATTCTAAGAAAAACTTTTGTTTCCCATTTGACTATCTCAGTGAAATCTGAAAATTAGTCTCGAATTAAGACCAATTAAATTGAATTCTTTAAGATGGTTGTTTGGTTTGGTTTTGGTTTGGTTTGGTTTGCCTAAAATGGACCATAAGATAGTATTTATTCAGATTGCAAGCCTGTGTGAATACCAATTTGTGGTCCAAATTTTCAAGGAAGATTTACTGCATCCCTTCACCCTTTGCCAAGTTTGAAAAGCATAACTTTTCTTGTGGCCCCTGGTAGGTTTATGGGGGATGTGGCCCTTAATGTCCCAGCTTTAGTGAGACTCCATGAAATTCCCCATCATGGGAGTTTTTTCTTTCTTTCTTTCTTTCTTTCTTTCCTTCTTTTTATAATCAAGATTTTATTGGTTGATTTAAGGATAAGTAGTCAGACATTTCAATGTGTACACAATTCTTTTTTTTTTAATTAATTGTTTTAATTGGTTAACAGTGTGTTTTTCCAGGACCCATCAGCTCCAAGTCAAGTAGTTGTTTTAATCTAGTTGTGGAGGGCACACTTCAGTGGCCCATGTGGGAATTGAACCAGCAACCTTGGTATTATGAGCACTGAACTCTAACCACCTGAGCTAACCGGTTGCCCCTTTTGTACATGATTCTTAACATACATACCAAAAACCTAAGAAGTCATGTAGTTGTGATTCTTTTCTAAACAAGTATTCCAGTGACTTTCCAGCTTAAAACTTGGAAGCTAATTTTGCTTAATAGAATATTAAATACCAGTATCTTCAAATGTTCATACACTGTAGATATACATCAAAGTCCCACTAAGTCACAATTTAATATCATATGCACTATATAATCAAATTTTCAATCTTTCACAGCACATTAAAAAAGTTACTAGGAAAACTGGACTACTACAACCAAAAATGTTACAGAGTGCACAAAATTCTGACAGGGAGAACCAAGATCAAGGAGTGGTTTTCTTTAGGAAACAATTCTACCAAAAACACGTGGTACGTGATATTAATCAGACTTGGCTTCTTTCTCTCCCACTTCATCAGAGGCTGGACTCTCCTCGTTTTTAGTTTCTCCATTTTCTGCAGGTCAATCTTTAGTTTCTTGGTTAGCCACTTCGGCCTGTTTTCCTTTTGCTCCCTTTGTCCCGTTTGTTGGCACTGTTTTGTTTGCAGATTTATCCTTTCCTGCCGCCTTTTTTGGCTTCCTAGAAGCAGGTTCAGCTGACAACCTCGCGGACTCCTTCTGGGCTCCTCCTGCCGCGTAAGCTGCTAGGACTGGTGGTGGGAGAACCGTGTTTTTGCTTTCTTAGTAACAGTATATAAATCAGTGGTACAGTCAGTGGCATCTTCAGCTCCATGAACTAGGGCATGTGTTGCCAATCTTCCCAGGTTGTATAGTTTATAATGTTTTTAATGTAACAAGTATTTTACTTCTCAAGTAGTC